AGCTCTTTCAACAAGATAGCTCATTTAATCCTCATAACAGTTCTATAAGGCACATGCTATCACTATCCCTAGTTTACAGATAAGCAAACTGAGTCACTGGGAAACTTGCACAAGTAGAGTCAGGATTCTGACCCTGGCAGCCTGATTCCAGAGCCCATGGTCTTAGACATTACACAGAATACTGTGTCTTTAATAATAGATTGTTCTTTTGAAGGTAGGAATTGTCTTACCTACCCCATTGCTCAAGTAATACTCGGCATTATAATATTTTTATGGCTTCTAGGGTTGGCTCCTTTATTACTGTTTTGAACTTGGTCTGCATTAGTTTAGAAGCAATTTGATGTAAGCTAAGTTTGATTTTATTTGCCATCCTTTTAAAATCAATTGTAAAATAATACATGTTATTTAGTTTTAAATTATATTTCAGAAGTACCATGAATGGTAGTATATTTCAACCTCAGCATGCCTGCCAATTTTACCTCTTTTAATAAATTTTTAAATTGTTCTTGTCTGATTAAGTCAGTTTCTTTCTACATGTGTGAATATTAGAAAGTATTAGTGTGACTTATGGACAGTAATGTGAAGCCCCTTTAGAAATTTCCAGAAAGTAAAAGATGGAAAAGATTTCTGCCTTTTTCTATGCACATAGCATCTTTAAGTCGCGAGTAGGCAGTATTCATTTAACACATTTGCTGACTTCTATTATGTGCCTGGGTATTACAAATAGTTAACATGTTTGACTGCTAACTAAAAGGTTGGAAGTTCAAGTCCACTTAGAGGCACCTCAGAAGAGGGACCTCACAGTCTACTTCCAGAAGATCAGCCATTAAAAATCACATTATGGAGCACTGTACTACTGTGACACACGGGATTACCATAAGTCAGAATCAACTTGGTGGTAACTCATAGTGGTGGTAGTATTAGGTGATAAGCACTGAAATTATTTACATTTTCAAAGAATTCTTATGACTATCAAACAAAAAAACCTTCTCTGTGTGCTGAGAGAGGAATCAAGAGCTCCTTGACTTGAGTGGAGGTTAAGCACACTTTCTTGTGTGACTCAACATTGGAGGAGTACAGGGCAGTCATCTCCCTTCTACACGCCACAGCATCAGGGAGAGTACGTTTAGATTGTCACCTGGTCTGTTCACGTTTTTAAGGACTTGTCCCTTTATGAGAGAGGCTGTATTTCTCTTTAGATTAATTTCTTCTGTCCCTACTAAGTTTATATTACATCTTTTCTCAGGAGCATATCCTTTATGAAAGTGAATGTAGTACCCTGTCTTATTTACCTTGTGCTACAATAATAAAAATATCACAGATGGGTGGCTTTTAAGAACAGAAATTTATTTTCTTATAGTTCAGGTTAGAAGTCCAAATTCAGGGTGTGGCTTTAGGGAGGTCCTTCCCTTTTTATTTCAGCGTCTAGTATTTGCTGGTAGCACAGTGGGTAAGGCATTTGGCTGCTAACCAGAATGTTGGTGGTTCAAACCCACCAACTGCTCCATGGGAGGAAGACAAGTCACTCTAATTCTGTAAAGATTTACAGCCTTGGAAAGCCTATGGGGATTGCTATGAATTGGAATCTACTTGATGGCAGTGGTTTGCTTTTTTGGGGGGTGGGGGTTGGTATCTGCTGGCAATCCTTGGTATTCCTGGGCTTGTTGTCTTCTTCCCCGTGTGTGTCTGTTTTCCCCTTTATGGTACAACTCAGAAGGGATTAGGTTCAGGATCCACCTTACTCTGATATGATGTCATTTTCATCATTTCCAAACAGGGTCATATTTAGGGGTGAGGGTTAAGATTTCAACATTTACTAATTTGGGGCACAGTTCAATCCATAATATACCTTTACTGTGTCTGTCATATCACAGGGCTACATCTGTGCTGTGATAGTTCCTTCATTCTTTGTTAATGGGCTCTTTCAGTGGCATAAGAATAACCAGGCCCATATAAAATGCACAGGCATTAAAGGAAAAAAAGAACAACTTCTGTGTCCCATTCATTCTAAGATGTATATTTTCTTTCATATTTCAACATCTCTGAAATTAGGATACGGTTTATAGTTGATAGCATCATATGATAATTGACAGCTTTGTTTTTTCTTTGTTGATGTACAATTGGTACATTAATCATAGTTGACAGTCCTAGATCTGATGAAGTACAGTAGTATATATTTAACCCTTGGACCTGTTGAGAGGCATGTATTTTTTTCTTGCCTTGAATGCTGTATGTTTGAAGTTATTTTGTATTACTTATATTTGAATTAGGAAGACAAAAGCCAGTATTTTGTTTTCTAAGTACTTTATTGCAATTGTTTTTAAAATTATGCAAGTAATACTGTACTTAAATTTTTTTCCCCCAATATAGTGAATTATAGAATAAGAAGTGAAAAATCATCTTAATTTCCCTCCCACCCCTTCCCAGTTTCCCTAAATTTGTTCCTCAGAGATTAGGTGTAAATTTTTTAGGATATTTTTCTCTAGAAACTCCATTAAAGATGCCCGTGGTTTTCAAGGATCCTTCAAGTTGCCTTTCACTATAATAAACACAATTTTAACAGTTGGATACAATAAAATATATCACTTGCAAACTATCTTCTCTTGATCATATTAATATTTAATTCACTATTTCACTTATTTTCTATGATACAGTTTTCTTGGAAGTAGTCTGTATAAATGAATTATTGTAGCTAAATTTCTTCAGCTCTTAATATTAAGCATGGAGTAAAGAAAAAATGGAACTTTATAGCTTGAAATGAGTTGTTTAGAAGAAGTCTTTATATTGTTTTGTTTGATTAATCACTAACTTTGTCAGTGGGCTGAACAATTCCCTTTTACGCAGTCTGGGCTACTGCTGATCTTCCTGCATCTAGTCAGACTTCTTTCAAAATCTACACCACTTGTTATTAGTTGCTGTTGAATCAGCCCCCTACTTATGCAACCCCATGCACAATGGAAAAATTGCTGCCAGGTCCTGTGCCATTCCCACAATCTTGGGGTTCATAGGGTTTTCACTGGCTGATTTTCAGAAGTATTTCTTTCAACTTTCCTAATTTACCTTAGTCCAGAATCTCCACTGAAACCTGTCAAGCATTAAGCAACACCCAAGCCTCCACTGATAGATTGTAGTGGTTTCCTGTTATGGATTCTGTTGTGTTCCCAAATAGGTATCAACTTGGTTAGTTGGTGATTCTCAGTATTATGTAATTATCCTCCATTTTGTCATCTGATGTAATTATCTTATGTATCGTATATCCTCATCTCCATGCTGTTAATGAAACAGGATTAAAGGGAGTTATGTTAATGAAGCAGGATATAATCTATAGGATTAGGTTGTATCTTGAGTCAGTTTCTTTTGAGGTATAAAAGAGATTAAACAAGCCAGCAGAGATTGGAGGGACCTATTACCACCAGGAAAGAAGAGCTGGGAGCAGAGCATGTCCTTTGGACCCGTGAGTCCCTGTGCTGGGAAATTTCTAGACCCAGGGGAAGATTGATGACATGTACCATCCCCCAGAGCCAGCAAAGAGAGAAACTCTTCCATTAGAACTGGTGCCTTGAATTCAGACTTTTAGCCTCAAACTATGAGAAAATTTCTGTTTGTTAGAGTCATCCACTTGTAGTATTTCTATTATAGCAGCACTAGATAACTAAGACATTACTCAATGAGGTGCATTGTCTGGGCCTTGAACTTTGGTTTCTCACAAGCAGGGTAAGAATTCTACCACTAAACTACCAATACCCTCCTACTTCACCACTAAACCAAAACAAAAAACTCCAAGCCTATTGATACCAAGCTGATTCCAACTCACAGCAACCCTATAGGACAGAGTAGAACTTATTTTCCCATAGGGTTTTCAAGGCTGTAATCTTTATGGACGCAAACTGCCACACCTTTCTCCCATGCAGCTGCTGGTGGGTTTGAATTGCTGTTAGCAGCCAAGTTTTTGTTAGCATCCAGGTGCTTAATCACTGTGCCACCAAGGTTCCTACTCCACCACTAGAGATATCAAAATGTGCATCGATTCATTTTGCCTTCTACTCCCATCCCTTTAGTGGCTCCCCATGATTTTTAGAGATATACAAAGGCCCAGATCTGGAGTGGGGCCTGCTTGCCCTGCAGAGTTGGCCCTCAGCCTAACTCATGACTGTCTCCCCTGCTCTCTGCATTCGAGGTCTACCTTTCTGTCCCTTTTTCCCTTGGTTTAAGAGTCCTGGTGGCACAGTGGTTAAAGCCTCTTGGCTACTAACCAAAAGGTCATTGGTTTGAACCCCCAGCTACTCTGCAGGATAAAGATGTTGTAGTCTGCTTTCCTAAAGATTTACAGCTTTGGAGACCAACAGAGCAGTTATATTCTGTACTCTGAGTTGGAATTAATTCGATGGCCATGGGTTTGGTTTTCTTGGTCTAGTTAGCTAGCTTCCTTTGTTATACTCTTTTTGTTCTGGGCTTCTTTCTTTCAGAGTGCTCATTTTAGTTCATACCACTGTAAATGTTGGTGTGATTGTGTTGACAAATGTCTGTCTCTCCAGAAGTCAGCTCCATGAACCAGGGACTGTGTTTTTGCCATTCCTGCATTCCTAGCACAGAAATTAGTACTTGATGAATGTTCAGAGAAAATGTGTATATGAGCAATTTTTTTTTTTTTTTTTTTTTTTGCTGTTTGGTAAACTGTAGGTAGAGAGTTGATAGTATCAGAGGATTAAGCTGAACACTTAGACTTGGTACCCTGGGAATTTTATTTTTAACCATAAGTAAAAATTAAAGTGGAAATAGTTTAATAATTCATTATTCTTTTATTGGGATTCTTTTAAAATTGAATTTGAACTTTGTGGTACTCAGTAGCCTGAGATTTTGTTCAGAGGAATCAAGCAGATCAACAGTAGCTTTTATTATCCTGTTTCAACATGCAGTAATTCAAAATGAACAGATATGTGGATTTTTAAAAATAAGCTTGAAATAAACTGTTCTCTAACTGATATTTATTTTAATTCTAGAACGTGGTCCAAGACAATTCCTGGGAAAGTTGAATTCTTCTCTAGTGAGGGTTCAGACACATCTATACCCATTCCAATAGTGCCACTACAGGGCGTGGATGACTCCTACCCACCCCAGAAGAAGTCTTTTATGATGCTCAAGTACATGCATGACCACTACTTGGACAAGTATGAATGGTTTATGAGAGCAGATGATGATGTTTACATCAAAGGAGATCGCCTGGAGAACTTTCTGAGGAGTTTGAATAGCAGTGAGCCCCTCTTTCTTGGGCAGACAGGACTGGGCACCACAGAAGAAATGGGAAAACTGGCACTTGAGCCTGGTGAGAACTTCTGCATGGGGGGGCCTGGTGTCATCATGAGCCGGGAAGTGCTCCGGAGAATGGTGCCACACATTGGAAAATGTCTCCGAGAAATGTATACCACCCACGAAGATGTGGAGGTGGGAAGATGTGTCCGGAGGTTTGCAGGGGTACAGTGTGTTTGGTCTTACGAGGTAAGCACAGAATTCTTTACTATGTGAATGTTTTGTCATTAGTTTTGAGGCAGTCATAGGAAACTCATCATAAGGTTCTATTTGAGGTTTAAAATTAGTGTGAAGTTATTGTACATTCCTAGCCCTAGTTGTTTTTTTTTTTTCAGTTTGGATTCCCCTTATTGCCCTTCTGTTGGCTTTTAGAACATACTCTTCATACTTTTTTCTTTAAACTTTGCCCTAATATCTTAGTAAATAATGGTATTTGAGGCCCAAAGTAAAGATACGGGTTGCTGAAGGTCACAGCAGTATTTTTACGATTATCCAGAAAACTCATCTGACTTCTGCTTATTCCAAAGATGTAATTAATTGCACAAGTGTAAAGTTATTTTCCCCTGTTCTCCCAGAGACCTGACTTCTCATCTGGTCATGTTGACCCATAGATAAGAAAGCTACATGTTTTGAATTTATAAAATGATGATTGATGTAAAAGCTAATAGGATTTGGCTTTGCGTTTATTTTAAACCTTAACATTTTGAACAGTTACCATATTCTGTAAGTTTGCAATATAGGTGGTTATAGCATCTATAACTTGTCCTTTTCAGAATGAATGGTAGGCGTTTCTGGATTATTTTGACACATGAATGAAATGTTTTTAAAGGGAGTCTACTTGAAGACCATTTCTTCTGAACAGTGCTAGAGAATATGAGTTTGCTTTTGAATTTTCAGTCTTTTTACTGGCAGTTGGGTACCCATTGCAGGATACGATATTAATCAGACTGAAAATAATTATTTAGGTAATGCCTAAGGCATTTGACTGCTAACCAGAAGGCTGGTGGTTCAAACCCACCAGCCACTCCTCAGAAGGAAGATTGGGCAATCTACTTCCGTAGAGATGATGTTGTTGTTATGTGCCGTCAAGTTGGCCTCAACTCATAGCGACCCCTCCTTGGGATACCGCCTCAGAAACCCAAGGAGTCGCTATGAGTGAAATCAACTCAACGGCAGTGAGTTTGGTTTTTGGTTTTTATGGTCTTATATTAAACTATAAGGAGCGCTGGTAGAATAGTGCCTAAGGCACTTGACTGCTAACCAGAAGGCTGGCGGTTAAAACCCACCAGCCACTCCTTGGAAAGAAGGTTGGGCAATCTACTTCTGTATGATACTGCCTCGGAAACCCAAGGAGGGGTTGCTATGAGTTGGGGCCGACTTAACGGCATACAACAACAACACATATTAAACTATCAATAGCAGGAAAAGCAGAGGGACTCATTATATCTTTTTTGCCCAAGAAAAAGAAATACACCTTCTGATGTAAATGCTTAGCTTTTTTCATGAGTTAATTTTTTAAGTACTTAAGTGAAGAAATAGTGGTCTTGCCAGTATTTGCTTTCCCCCGAGACTTGCGTTTAAACATCTTCTAACCACTCTTTTCTTTCGTTTGAACTTTTGGGGAAGTGGTCATGTTCAGGTGTGTTTCAGGTGGTCTTTAGGTCATTTCTAATTATAAATACACAAAGATGAATTTAAATCCTATATACACGTGATCTGAGTGGACACTGTAATCTCTGTCTGTACCCTTCCACCCCTCTTCACACACCCCGTACCCCCCATGCATAGATGATTGCTCACTAAGTCTAGGGGATCTTTCTGTTGTCACATATTTTTTTCCTTTCTTTTTAAAAGTGTAAAAATGGCAGCAAGGAAAGCTGTTTAGGGATTTTTTTGAGCTAAAGCAGACTATGACTGTCAGTATTTCTTCGTTTTTCCCATCCTAAATTAAGGAGTTGTAACTTTAATATACTTCATTGTGGTTAAAATATGTAGTGCTTTGTGCGTTTTGGAATGTGTTACTCTGTCCCTGAATTTGAGAAGCTAGCCTTCTGCTGCAATTCTGATAAGCTACTTTAGAGAGAGAATTTTAAATAGTAAGTCTTTATGCTGTTGGGGAGCTCTGGTGTCATAGTGCCTAAGGCATTTGACTGCTAACCAGAAAGCTGGCAGTTCAAACCTACCAGCCACTCCTTGGAAGGAAGGTAGGAAGGTTGGGCAATCTACTTCTGTAGAGGTACCACCTCGGAAACCCAAGGAGGGGTTGCTGTGACTCAGATCTGACTGATAGTGGTAAGTTTGGTTTTTTTTTTTTTTTGCTTTGGTTGTGTTGTTGTAGAGCTGTGTCTTACATACACTGCTTGGAGACACCAGTTACGGCCATTATCTTGAGTTTTATCGAGAACTTTTACCTAGGTTCAGTGCCAATATGTAGTTTGAAAGTATTGGCCTGGGGCTGCAGTATTTGGAAGATGGTTTTCTGCCTAATTCTACCCTGTTATCATGGTAATCATCATAGTTTTCTAATGTCCTAAGTCTTGGTGCCTAGAATCATCCTGTTAGAACCTTTGTGCTTCTCTTAGACTCGATGTTCCCAGTAAATCACCTCATAAGCTAAAGGGATCTGGTTGGTGAGGAAGTTCCCTCTTGGGTAGTACCCCCTCTCCCTGATCAGGGTGCTCACCAGTGAGTACTGTGTGGCAGTGGTGGGTTCGAGATCACTCTAGGAGTGGGTGGTCTGCTTCTGATGAGTCCTGGCTTCTTTTCAGTCTTTAATACGTGTGGTGACAGAGGTTTATTAGAGCTTGCCCGACTTCTCTTTTTGTGCTTGTACAACTTACCCTCCCACCAGCAGTGCCTCAGAGCCTTTCTTTTCAGTGAGTTGGCTGTTCATAGTTTGGGCCCATTTTTCTGTTGGAAGTGCTGTCTGTCTTACAGTTTTGTTGGAGTACTTTATTCTGGATACAGAATATCTTCTCTCAGTCTGTGGCTTGTCTTTTCACTTTAATTGCATTTTTTTATTATACAGAAATTGTGAAGTTAAGTATAATTTAACTTGTTATTCTTTCCCCTTATGGTTTGTGCTTTTGTGTCTTGTTAAAGAAATTCTTCCCTTGGGTCACAAATTTTTTTTCCTCTATTTTTCTATTTAAAGTTTTTGCCTTTCATGTTCAATGCTTCATCATTATTATTTTTAAGAATTATGTCTTCTAGGACATCTACTATTTTATTAGATCTTTTATTTATTTACTAGTACTATTATTTTTTTGTAAATGCTTCTAACCTAAGTCCTAGTTAGGATTTATCATTGTGTTCACTACTCAGGCAAGATTGATCTTTCATATGGATGAAGAACTTTTATTAAATGTCCTGTAAATCTAGTTTCTTGATTAAGGCTCACATTATGAGAAGTTACTGAGGTGGAATTTTATGTTAAAGACAATTATGTTAAGCTTTAAATCTTGGAAGGTACTTATTTAGCTCTATTATAAACCTAGCTGAGGGTGTAATTTTCTTTGCAATTAGAAATAATGCCTGTGATTATATTTGTATAATTAAAGTGCCTTTTGAGGAACATCTATCAAAATAAATCAGATTTATTTCTAAACTTGTTTGCATTATTATTAGTGTTTTATTTATTAATAAATGGCTTTTTAAAAAAAGCTTTATTTGGAAAGAATTTTAAAAATTTCAAGTTAAAAAAAAAGAAAAAAATAGTGTAAAGGATTGTTACCCAGATTCACCTTTTGTTTTCATTTTACTCCATTTGCTTGTGCTCCTGAGCATTCCCTCCTCCCAGCCTGTAGATGTAGACTTACCTACTCCAACCATTTATGTCAGTTATATCCATCTTGGCCCTTTATTTTAAATATCTTCAATGTGTTTTGACTACGAATAGGGAATTTCTTATATATAACAATATAATTGTCAACTTAAGTAAATTTAACACAGACACTTTTATACTGTTGTCTCAGCAAAGTCTTGTGTAACAGTTTTTCCTCCTCTATTAGGAGAAACAGGAGGTCTGGTAGCATAGTCCCTAAGGCACTTGACTGCTAACCAGAAGGCTGAAGGTTCAAACCCACCAGTCGCTCTTCGGAAGGAAGGTTGGGCAATCTACTTCTGTAGTGATACTGCCTTTGAAACCCAGGGAGGGGTCAGTATGAGTCAGATCTGACTCAATGGCAAATAACAACATTATGAGAAACAATTGAGGGTCAAGTATTATACTTGGTTGTCATATTTCCTTTAATTTGGCATGTTTCCACAGTCTCTTTGTCTTTGAAATGATCTTGGCATTTTGATAAATGCCTTTAAATGCTTCATTTTTGTAATGAAAAACGTGATTACAATATAGTAAACCATAAGGCAGCTTTTAGTGATGTTCATGAAGGTTTATTGAAACCTACCACTGTAGAAGACATAACAGCAAAGTAAGAGAGTAGACCGTGTGACTATTAAATACTGATGGAAAAGAGGTAGGAGGAGCTGTTCAGGCTTGTTTCTCCCTTGTCACATGGGTTTGGCATCGTTAACTCAAATTATATGAGGTTTTTTTTTTTTTTGAGAAATACTTATGAAAAATTTGAAATACTACTTTATTTAGGTAACTATGTGAAATATTACTCTTAATAAAAAGGGGCAAATGAAAGGATGACGTAAGCAACCTATTCATTTTAACTTTTTATTGATGTATATACTATACCTAGGAGTCCCTGGGTGATGCAAACAGTTAAGCATTGGACTACTAGCTGAAAGGTTGGCAGTTTAATCCACCCAGAGGCTCCTCAGAATACAGCCTTAGCGCTCTGCTTCTCAGCCATGAAAACCCCATGGAACTCTACTTACAGGGTTGCTCTGAGTTGGAGTCAACTTGACTAACAACAACAAAATACTGTCCCAGTGGAAAGCGCCACTCATTAAATGTAGAGCTCAGTGATTTTTCATAGACCAAGCACAGCTGGGCAAACCAGCACTCAGACTTTATTTCTATTATTTTAACTTAGTGTTTGACTAGTAATCTGGGTATTTTAAGTATAAAATAATGGAATTTGAAATAGACATGTTGTTGTTATTGTTATGTGCCGTCGAGTCGGCCCTGACTCATAGCAACCCCTCCTTGGGTTTCCAAGGTAGTATCATGACGGAAGTAGATTGCCTAACCTTCCTTCTGAGGAGTGGCTGGTGGG